TGCATCACCCCTTCGCCTTTCCATGGTGTCCTGTAGGCTTTGCGAGCAGGCAGCATGTCTGTCGTGTTCTCCATTGTGTCACCAGTGCCTGGCAAGCACTGGGCACGCAGGGGATGGTCAGTAAATCTGAGTTGATGAAAAGGTCTGAGGCCGCCTTTTTAATTGGCTCGATTGGCCCTGGTGCAAGACCTCATCAGTGGCATGGAGGAACAGCTGTGAAAGCCACGACCTCATCCTTCTTGATGGACAGAGAGTCACTTTATGATTAGGATAACAAGCCCTTCCTCAATGGAGGCCTCTATCCCATTTACTTTGTAAAGTGGCACCGAGGTTGTGCAGAGGTCTCTCTCTGCTGAGACCTAGACTTTATTCCTGGCCTCCAAGGAGGGTCCATCCAGTGACCCCGTATCGTGACGATACAGATAGAACACTTGGCCCTGGGCTTGGCTGGGGGCAACTTTCAAGGCACCAGGATTTCAGGTGCAGAGTGAGGCCCAGGACCTCCAGCCCAAGAAGACACCTGATCCTATTGAAAGGGCAATGTCCTATATATATGCAAAACCTTAAATAAGCCCAGCGACCGTGACACACTTAAAATTCCGGGTGGCAGGCACTGCATGACTCAGTGCTAGACTGAGCTTTAAAGGGACTCTGGCAGTCCTGTACTCAAGATCAGTGCTGCCCTTTGACCTGAGCCCTCCCCCTCCCCTGGCTCTGCCACTCCCTGTGGGGTGAGAGTCCCACAAGACCTCCTACAAGGAGATGTCCCCACCTAGACCCAGTGCCTGCCTAGCATTCAGGCCTTTCTCAGGTCATGCTGTGGCTACCAGGACTCCAGAATTGCCCAGCCCAATGGCCTGATGCCTGCGTGGGTCTTTTCTCAGGCAAATCCTTTTGAGTGAGGGTACACTGTTTCCTGCTTTGGTACTCTTGTTATTTGAGAGGTGGCCAAAGGGCAGACACTAGCTTGGGTTGTATACTATGCCTGAATTCAGACTGATGTACCCGCATGCATGCATGTAGGAGCCGCTGCAGTGCAGGGCTGAGTGGGGGGTCGTTTACCACACAGCCTTCGTTTGTGATGGAGCTTCAGTCCTTGCAAATGTTGGATGCTGGCCTGCCCATGAATCTGCCTGCTGCCTTACTGAAAGTAAGCCTTGGTGACATGGCTGTATTCCATGTCCTGGTCACGAGCGGTACCTACCGCTGTCTACCTCCGGCTGATGTTCGTCGCAGAGAGGAGCAGAGGGCACAACAGCTGCTTGCTTTCCTGCAAGACTGAACACCTATACACAGACAAGGGAGAGTGTGAGTCTGAATGTACCAACGAGTTTGGGTGACCGCGAGCAGGTCATGTGAGCCAAGAAGGTAGAGTGAAAGAGGGGTGACAGGAGGGTGACTGTGCAAAGGGCTGCGAACATGAGGGAGAGAGCTGTGTACGCGCACGGGGCGGAGAAGGCAGTGCACACACACCGAGTGTCTGCAACGGGACCTGGCGTGTGTGTGACTGCAGGCCTGGGAGGAGGGCAGACAATGCAGAGAATCCCAGGCTTTGTGTGTGTGTGAGGTGGGGGGAGAGGGAAGGAGGGCGCCAGCGCGTCTGTCCGTGTCCAGGGGGCACGCACGGTGGAAAGGGGCAGATGGGGCCGCGGCCCTGAGAGCCGAGCGTGCAAGAGGGAGGAGACCTGCGGGTGTGCGTCCTTTAGAGGTGCGTGTTTGCCCCCACGGGGCCCCGCGAGACAGAGCAGGCCATGTGCCTGGCGACTGCGTCGGTATGCGCCTGTGTGTGCACGAGCACGCGCTGTGTCAAGTGAGAACAATCACGAGTGCGCGCGCACACGTGGGAGTGGGGGTGGGGGTGAGTGTGAGCCAGGGCGCCCGCTCCAGGAGGCGGTGAGCTGCCTGGGGGTGCTGCGATGCCTGAGGATGTTTTCACTCTGGAAAGCTCGATCTGAGAGGGCTCTATGACCTGCCTAAGGCTGGCTCAGGTCTGGGTGACCATGACTGGGAGTCCAGGCCGCGTCATCCTGCCCGGAGGTGTGCGTGGGAATGAATGAGTCACCCAGGCATGGCTGGCCCTCGCTCTGCCTGCGTCTTACCCAGCGGGGAAGGCAATGGGGAGGGGAAGAGAGGACTCGGGGGCTGTATTTTTACACCATCCTTATGCAACTGCTTGCAGTGTCCACGGGCTCTTTCCAAAGGCTCAGCGCTCCGACTCTCCAGGCCTATACAATTCCATTCCTTTTATGTCCAGGAAGCAGTTCGGGTCAGCGGCTTTGGCTGACAAACATTGGTGGCAGCCTACTCCACCCCAGGCTCAGGTCCACATATTTACAGGGCTGAGCTACCTCCCAGTCTTTCCCATCCCCTCTTTTCTCCACAACACTTGGCACTACTTGCTAGACTGTCTTAATTTCATTTATTGCCTGTTCTCTTTAATAGCAAATGCCTATATAGCACTTGCTACATGCCAAGCCTTGTTTGAGGCTCTTTATTAATTCACTGAATCCTCCAACAACCCTACGGAGCAATGATTATTACTCTTGCCATTTTGTAGATATGGGGCCCAGGATCACCCCACTGGTAGTGGTGGAACAAAGCCTGGGTCCAGGGTCCCTGCTTTTACCAAGCACTTAAAATACTGTCCTGTGAGAGTGGGAGTTTTTCTCAGTGTGGTTAGTGTTGAATCTCCGGGACCCAGCACATGTAGGTGCTCAAAAGGGAATGAATGAAGAAACGAATGAACAGATACTGGACACGGAGAATAGGATAAAACAGAGAGGTAACTGCTGTCAAAGGGCTCACAGTCCCAAGGAGGACAAAAAATGACTGCAATCCCACACTGGGATGGCATCATGGGAATCTGGAGGGCTCGCACCTTCCCTGGCCTCTGGCAGAGAAGGCTTCTCAAAGGAAGGGCACCAAAAGGGACAGGCACAGTGACATCATCTACCTTCTCCAAACTCCTTAATTCGGCCTCAGTCCACAGGGTACCAAGAGACGACAGTAGTTCCATGGGGACAGTGAAGGTAGAAGAGGTGCACTCAGGCTCTGGAGGTAGACTGCCTGGATCGAATCTCCCCTCTACCAAACACCAGCTAAGTAATCTTGGACAGGAAGCCAGGCCTCCCTAGGCCTTGGTGGTCTCATCTGTAAGATGGGGGTAGCAATGATTCCAGCTTCCTGGAGGTATTGCGTAAGGAAGGCAAGGTGCTGGCTTCAATGGAGATGACTAATGCTCTGCTTCCATTGTGCACTGTCTGCTGGCTTCGGGGGAGGAACAGGAGGGAGAATAAAACACATTGTGCTTCTTATGGTTATCTCTCTGCTGTGGCTTCATCCCATTTTTCAGAAGTGGCTCAAAGCAGAACTTGTCCATGAGCCTTTATTAGCGGAGGGACTATGTTTTATTCACCACTAAGTCCCTAGCTCCTACCACAGTACCTGAGTCATAGGAGGTGCTCGATAGTATTTGATGAACGACTGAGTGATTTTTTTTTTATTCCCTCAGGACCTTTGAAAGGGTTTATGTTGCTTTTGTTTCCATTTACAGATGAAGGACTGGGGGTTCAGAAAGGTTAAGTAATCTGCCTATAAATGCACAGCCTGTAAGCAGAACAGCCGGACTGAGACGCCAAACCCCACGCTCTTTCCTCCACGCCATGCTACTCCCTGGACTCCTATACATCATGTCCTACTTTCCATGGATTTTTTTCCCCTAGCCAGTGGGGCCATCCCTGCTCGTAGAATCATCTCCGAATTTCTATGACTCATCTCTGAATCACAGAACTGTTTCAGAGTTGAAAGGGACCTTTGATGTCATCTAGACTCCCACCCACTGTGGAAATTTCCTCTCCAATGTCTCTCTTCCAAATTCTCGAATGCCTCCCGTAGTGAAACACTCACTTTTTCCCTCTGGAATCATTAAGTTCTATGACTGGACCACTTTTACAGTCGGAAAGTCACACATCCTGTGGGCCAACAGGCCTCTTTCATGTCTAGGTACTGGGCTTGCATCATCTGTCTAAGATACGAACAACAGTTCTGCCCTCTTCACACAACAGCCTTTCAGATGTTCAGACAGCTCTCACTCCTTTCCGAGAAATCTTCTCTTGCAGCCAGCTGTTTCTGATCTCCATGGCGATGACTCCTGTAGACGTGTTCATCCTAGAGCAGCTGGACAGGCCATCCAAATGAGCAGTGGCTCCCCTACTGGGCAATGGAGGAACTGCACCAAAGGGCTCACTCCTGAAGTCGGAGGTGTTTGATCAGAAAGCAGGTTTGATTTTAGTGTGAGTCAATAACTGTTTATTGTGAAGTATCTCCCTCTTAGAGCTTGTTTTCATTGTCTAAAAGACTGTCGTGTGGATTGTCGTATGGTTTACCAATTGCGAAGATCTGACAAGCTACAGGTTTGAGGCTTCCAAGGTTAGAATCCAAAAGGCTACTGTTGAACCAAATGTTTGGGATCAAAGACTTGAAAATGTGTGCTATACTACAGGAACATAATGATTTTTCTTTCTTTCTCACTCATATTTATTTTCTAATATTGCTACAGCGGACATTTGTTTTGAAAGATTAAAAACATTTATAAAAAGAAAAAAATTAAAAATCTCATCTTAGTCCCTCTCCCTTTGGTCCTTCCACGGCTGTTCATCACAGCCTGGATATGTGGGCTCCAACCGACAGAATATGCTGCCACCCAGCACGCAGGGGCCTGGTCACGTCTCCATGGTGACCACCACGGCCAGGGGTTCAGACAGCCAGGATCCCGCCAGGGTGGACACCCGGAGTCGCCAGCTGCGGCAGGTTCACACTGAGGTGGGCTCTTAGCAGGGCTGGCAGGTCGCTCTGCACAGCATCCCCTGCCCTCCCACTTTAGGCCAAATTCACAAGACTTGCGTCCCTCACACTGCCAGCCAGTGGCCTTGTCCCTATTGGCCCTGGTCCCCCGTGCTTCCCTCTTGCCCCCACTTCCCAGCATGCTCTGGGCTGCCTGCTCTTCCTCTATGTGGGCCTAAAATGGCTCCCAATGAGAAGAGAACAGAAAGACATTAGGGATTAGAAAAACAAATTCCCACAGATATGAAGACCTTGGAGCGGCTACATTGTTTCTCCAGGAAGCTCACAGCCTGCCAGGTTTGTCTGGGAGCTTAGGGGCCTGGGGTGCTGGGGAGACTCACCCGGCAGCCTCTCACTGCAGCACATGTCCGGGGCCCCTCCTGCGGAGTCATCAGCGGCACGATTTTCTCTCTCTCCTGCAGCAGGAGGGAAAACGTGAGAGGAGGCTATTGAGCTGGGATCAAGACAAAACCCTGAGCAAAGAGATAAGGCCTTCTTCTCATGCACTGGGGACCCTGTGGGGCCCTGTGGGTAACCCCGCCTCACCAGGGGGACCCAAAGAAAATACCAACTTGTCAAGGGTCATGTTGAAGGTGGGAACAGAGTACTGCAGGCATCTTCCCTGTAAAATCATCATTACCATCAAACTCTTGACTATGGAAAGCGGGCTCAGAACGTGCAAAGCACTTTACAAACTTTACCACACTACACAGCATACTGAGTCCTCATCATGTCCCCACGAACCAGGGATTAACCAGGCTCAGAGAATTTAAGTAATCTGCCTAAGACCACACAGCTCATTAGAACTGGGTTTGAAATTATAATCTAGTACTCCACGCTCAGGCTCCAACTGCTGTGCCATTCTGTCTCGTTACTGTGGTTTTGCACCATGGATGAGCAGTAAGAGGGGTCTGGTGTCCAAGAGCCCAAGATGTGCCAGTGCTCTGCGCCTCAGGCAATGGGAAGAGGCATGCAGACCTCTTCTCCAGAAATAGCTAGGAACAGTAGTAATAGTGCACTGTGCATCTTCTAAATGTTCTTCCTGAAATGAGAAAGCCCTCTTTCTAGTTCTGGAGTCCAGGCTTTTTTCTTTTATGGGATTGCTGCTCCCCAAGAGCAGCCATGGTGCCCACAGGGGTCCCCTACTTTGGCAAGAGTCTGCAAGGCACATGTGAGCCGAAATGGACCCTGCATTTCCCTTCGTGTCTCTGACCCTTGGCAGTCACTGGCTGAGCCAAGGCTGGACACACAAACCCGGCTGGGCCCATCAGCTCCTCTTCCTGCAGCTCACGATGCCTTCTGCAGGGGCCGGAGCTTGTGCTGCTGGTGCCCAATCACGGCCATGCCAGGGAAGGCTGCACGGACCTTTTGCTGGGCAACCAGTCCAGTCCATCGAGCCCACGAGATGCCCTGGAAGGCTTCCAACAAATCTCCACATTTTAGGTGTGTGTGTGTGTGTGTGTGTGTGTGTGTGCGCATTCCGAAACTGGTAACCCAAAGCATCTTCCCCAGGGATGACCTGATGCAACACCTGTAAGCAGCCCAGCAGGCCAGCGGTCCCTCTGCGTTCCTGCCTCGCAGTTCTTCCTCTCTGCTGGTCCTGGGCCCACTTCAGGCCCGGCCACAGATTTTAAATAATTAAGGGCAGACAGGCCAGGTTAAGAGTGACTCTTCTTCCTCTCCTGTCTTCTGTTCTCAATGGAATTGTTTTCTTTTTCTCTCATTCCCCTTGGCAGTTTCTGAGAATCCCAAATCCCAGAGCCAAGCTTTCCTGTACGGAGAGGGATACTATGTCCAGGGGAAGTGCCTCACTGTAAGGGATCTTTATTTCACGGTCTCTGGAACCCACTTAGGCTGGAAGCTAAAACATTCTTTGCCTGGCTGCAACGCGTACGGCTTACATGGGCTGCTCAGCTTACAACACACACAACTGGAAGGTGCCGGCCTGAGGTAGTCAAACTAAAATCTACCACACACAATTCATTGAAAACACATTTTCATGGCATCCTCGTTTACTTAGAGCAAAGAGAAAAACCCTTGGACATAGCTCACTAGCTGTTGCTTGGACTGGTCCTGTCTAGCCCTCCAGTTTTACCTGAATCTCTCTGTCTCTTCACCTCTGCATTCCAGCAGCTCCGGACAGGCTCTTTTCTCAGTGTCTTTGCACTTGCTCCCCTCTCCGCCTGCAGGGATCCTCTAGCTCAGCTTCCCAGCACGTTTTACTCGTAGCCCTCGACATGGCTGGAATTCCATTTTAACTTATGCCGTTGCTTGACTGACATCAGTCTCAGCCACTGGACTACAGGCTCCATGAGGGCAGGGACTGCCGCCCCTGGTTTATTACCATTGTATCTTCAAAGCCTAGCACAGTACCCGGCTCACAGTAGGGTGTTCAAGCAATCAGTAAATATTTGTGCAGGAAGTGAGTGTTGCCTCAACATTCTGGAGCAACAGGAGGGTCTCAAACACAGCCCTCATTTGAGCTGTTTGTGCACAGGTCTTTGCAAAGCCACGTAGAAACTTCCCCCACAGCGGTTGCTGCGATCATCACTAGACGGCCTCTCATTTCAGAGGGGAAACTGAGGCAGAGAAAGCGGGCCTGACTTTGGCCCACAGGGACTGGGCCTGAGAGCGTCCACCTGCCTCCCCAGCCTCCCAATCCCGAGCTTGCTTTCTTTACCTCATGGGGGCAGCTTGTAGCCATGGGGGGCACAAAGGTAACTAAAGTGTCCAGATACCTCGCGAGGGGACTCACGTGTGACTCACACCTGCTTTCGTATTTTAAGCCTCCCAGGCCCCACCCAAGTTCAGAATAGCTTAGCGCTGTGTGCATGCTGTGGACTCTATAAATAAGCTTCCTAGAAAATGACTAATTTCATAAGCAGGAAAACAGAAAGAGTAGCACCTTTTGGCTGCAGAGGAAAATGGAGCAAGAGCCTGCTGCTCTGCCCAGTGAGTGAGCAATTCTGGGCACCCCTGGCCAGAAGCTGCACATCTAGGCTGTTCAGGGGAGGGTTTAACTAGATTTCCTGAGAGAAGAGAGGCCCGTTCAAGTTGCAGGAAGAAGCCCAGTCTCGGGCACTGCTCTCCTCCCTGCCCGGCAGGCGCAGAAATAGCTGCTTGTAATGGATTGCTGTAGGATCCTTTTCTCTCCTCCTCCACTTCTATCAGCCAGGCAACAGGAACAGAAAAATGGCCCTTGTCAACAGGCAGCGACTCACAGGGCTGGTCCTCCACGGCTGCTCTTAGAACCAGAAAGCCCCACAGATGAAGGGGTTTATTCAACAAGCATTGCCCAGGGCTTTCAGGAGGTGAGGCCCAGAGCTGCCCCAGGAATGCAGGGTGGACGAGCCAGGCCCCTCTCACAGGCCTCAGTCGTTCTGAGGAGACAGTCAGGACTACTCCCCGGGACTTCCTCCAACTGTCTACACACGCAGAGGCCTCAACCCAATCTGTGGTGAGGGATGGGGGGGACGGAAGTCTCCTGCAGTGGTTCTCCAGGATGTTTCCAACTGGATGACAGGATGCAAGCACTACAACCGGTAAGAGCAAGGCTCGGAGGCCCGAGATGGCTAACCGGAAGCAGGCTAATCAGTGGGATGGGAAGCAGATGGGGCCTCGAGGCTTGAGAGCAAGCAGCATCCTGGTCAGGAATCCTGTCTCCTGGGCCGGGAGCCCTCTTTCGCTTCCCTGAACCGCTTCCCTGCACCAAGAGGTGGCATGGACTCCCCACACCTTGCCTGGGGCAGGAGGACTTTGGGAACAGGAAGAGGACATTAGACTCAGCTGGTGACATCTGATCTAGACCCAGAATACTCTCACTTTTTAATTGTGACAAAATCCATGCAGCAGAAGAGCCATCATTTGAAACCATACAATTTCGGTGGCACTTAACACATTATCATGTTGTGCAACCACCATTATCTAGTTCTAGAATCCTTTTATCACCTCAAGAGGAAATCGCATACACCCGACTTAGAAGCCACTCCCATTTCCTCTCCCTCCCAGTCCCTGGGAAACGCTGATTTGTTTTCTGTCTCTATGGACTTGTTTACTGGGGCTTTTTCATATAAATGGAACCACGCAACATGTAGCCTTTTCTATTTGGTTTCTTTCAGTTAGCGTAATGTTCTCTATGTTCACCCAAGCTATTGTCATGTATCAGTACTATACTTCCTTTTTTAATGGCTAAATAATTTTCCACAGTATAGAGAGGACACTGTCTTTGTTCATTCATCAGTTGATGAAGCCAGGCGTGGTGGCGCATGCCTATAATCCCAGCACTGGGGAGGCTGAGGCAGGAGGATCGCTGGGAGTTCGAGACCAGCCTAGGCTACATAATGAGGTCCAGGTCAGTTTCAACTACATAGTGAGACCCTGTCTCAAAACAAGCAAACAAACAAACAACATCAGCTGATGGGTGTCTGGGTTTTTCAGCTTTTTAGCAATTGTGAATAGTGTGCTGTTATGGCCCACTACTCTTTTACATCACACTTCCAACAAGTTTATGGCTGTGGAAGAGCCTTTCCTTCCCTTAGGCCCGAGTCCTCACCTATAAAATAAGGTGGTAGGATTGAACCTCAGGCAGCTTTAATGTCCCTCTTCATTTGTTTGTGTCTATGACACTAACATTGCTTTATAACTACTCCCACCAGTGCTGGGAACTGAAGATCCAGATGCACTACCCACCCCAACCTCCGGGAGCTCATGGTTGGTGGGGGAGACATCGAGGCTGCTGTGGGCCAGATGGGGTGTCTAGCAGGGGCCTGTCTGGGAAGGGCTGGGGTGCCATCTCCCTGCCTGGACGGTGGTGGGTATTACTGTGAGGCTCCCTGGATCTAGCTCTGCCCAGCGCTTGGGTAGAGAGAGCGCTGACAGGTTTGGGGGTAGGTACAGTGGCCTGAGGCCACTTTCAAGGTGGGTAAGGGGCAAGGAGGAGGTAAGAGACTGAAGCCAGGATTCCGGAAGTGAGGCTGAGCCCGTGCCAGGCAGATGTGCTGTCTACCTTGGACTCCATACCTCAGGGGCCCCAAAACACCCTCCGTGTCACCACAGAGCTCTGACTACTCTCCCAAAGCTTGGACCCCCACCAGACGTCTGTATCTGCCAGATCAAACCTGTCCACTCCTATTTCCAAGCCTCGGTTCATGCTGCTCCTTAGCCTGCAGTATCCTTTTCAACATCTGCCAAATTGTACTCACTCTCCAAGGCTCTCAGGCACCACCTCCCCCAGAGAGCGCTTCCTGATCTCCCAGGAAATCAAGTTTTCCAACTCTGGGTCCCCCCTCCCTTCACCTGCATCATGGTTCTCTTGCCTTACTTTTTTTTGTTGTTTTTGTTTTTGGAGACAGGGTCTCTGGGCAGCTGACTCCAGCTTCCCAATCTGCAGAAATGTCCAGACTATGGTCAGAGGAGACCCACAGCGCCACCAGATTCTCATCAGCATGCTCAGCACAGCGCAGAGGACATGCTGCTTTCATGGAGAATAACTGATTAGGCCCTGCGAGCAAGTCACTGCATCGTACGCATGCAAGTGGAGAAGATGTGGACTCCTCCGTGGGTGGGCTGCAGGGAACCACGGGCGTCCTCACTCACCCAACTTCCTCCAACTTCGTTCCCCAGGTGGCCAGATGGGAAAAGCTGCCATCTGAAGCACGGGAAGTTTTCTCAGCAAAAAGCAAACTGGACATGTGAAAGGAGGAGAGGCTGGCTTCGCACAGATGCAAAACCGGAGGCCCAGGGAAGTTCAGTCACTTGCTTCAGGTCACACAGTGCGCCCAACTGTTTCCAGGTTGTCCCCCAAATCCTGACTTCATGTGGAGAGTACCTCTCCTCTCCTAGTTCCTGCCTCCCCCGTGCCAAAGGAAGGACGCGGAAGCCAGAGCTCAGCTGCCTGCCATTTCTGTGCTGTTCCTCCAAATCTTCTAATAAATATCTTTGTGGCCTGGGTTACTCAGAGTCAGTTTCTGTTGTTGGCAGCCAGAGAACCCAGAATGATGCATGCAGGAAAGAAAGTAAGGGAACAGATAGGCTCTGAGCCCGGGACTCCCAATGCCTAGTTCACTGCTATTTCCGTCCTGCCAGGCTGCCTACCTCCTGGCCCAGCTGTCCACTGTCCAGCCATCTGTCCCCACGTCTGAGCAGACTGTAAACTTGGAGTGCTCCGGATCTCAAACACAGGGTCTGAGTGTTCTCTGGTTGGGATGTGCCTACATGAATGATTTTCCTTCCATCCCTGGCTAAGACCCAGGGAAGACTGAACAGTGGTGAACAGGCCCAGCCTGTTAAGAGACCTGGGCAACACAGCCTTCCTTCTTTCAGGTGAGTCTGATTCAGGGACTGGACCATTCATTTACGCAACTCACGTTTTAAATGTCTACTGCGTGGAGACCACGGAGAGGTCCTGGGAGCACAGTGAACTGCAAGCATCTCAAGGGATGCAGGTAAGGAAGTAGGTGGCAGTTCTGGCAGATGTGCAGGGTGCCTGTGAGCACCGCCAAAGGAGCCAAGGGGGAGAATTTTCACTCTGCTTTAGTCAAGCTGTGTGGCCTCAGGAGAATGTCTTTAGCACTCTGGGCCTGAAATTCTTCTCATCTGTCACACATAGATGATGACACCTTCCACACAGGGTTGAAGGGAGGATTACCAGTGAGGGAGAGGAACGTGAAGTGACCATGCTGGGGCCTGGGAAACAGGAGGTGATGACCAACGGAGGCACATCAGGGAGCAGCAGAGGTGGTGGTGGGGATCGTGAGTGTGTAGAAGATGTGCAAACTCCCAGGACAGAGCCAAGAACCTACTGTCCTGAGAGGGCACAGGCCTCCCAATGCCACCTACTTGTCCCAAGGACCGTATGCCCTCCTTGGGGACAGCAGGGAGGTGCTGTCAGCCTGCAGGCGCCTGTGCATTGGCTCAAAGGCCCAGCATGAACTGAATTCCCTGCTTTCCCTGGGCTCTGGGCTGGGGCTGCAAGAAGGGATGAGGAATCCCATCCTGGTGAGCTCATGCGGTGGGATGGGCACAGGACAGACACACACAAGTTCCCTGCTGGCCTCGGCCCCCAAAGCAGGGTGCACCTTGCAGCGGGGACAGCATGGAGAGAGGCGAGAGGGGTCAGGGGCTCATGGCTGAAGCCACAGCATTTTGTTCTGACTCCATCTCTGTCTTGGAGGGTCAGGAACCTCACTGCGTTCCAGCTCAGGCTCTCAGACCCTCCCAGCCTCTTCCTGGGGGTCCTCCTACTTTCTTTCAAAGTTCATGTCCTGGGCCGAGGATTTAGCTCAGTGGTTCTGCCGCCTGTCTTGCAAGTGGAAGGTCTCGGAGTTTGATCCCCGGTATCAAAAACAAAAACAAAGTCCATGTCCTCTTTCTCTCCTGGTAGGCTGATGAGGAAGGAAAGGGACAGGAAGAAGCACTTAGGCAACGGAAGGAAGCTGGAAAGGGGGCAGACACCATCTTGGGGCCTCTTTTTCAGGAACAGCTTCCACAGCACCCCGCCTGGTGAAAGGATGCGGACGGCAATGGTGTGAACTGAGACAGTGTCCACCTCTACGAACCCTTAGGGGCCTAACACACAGGAGACACGGAGATGGCGGGAGCCTTAGCGGGAATGTACTACCATGACCTGCAATTTCTAGAGGAGAAAATGGGGACTCCAAGAAGCAAAGCGACCTTCAATTCAGGGCGACACAGCTACTAATTACAGACTTGCCCCCACCTCCCATATGCCTAACCTCTCATCTCCCCAACTTTCCAGCCTTTGGTGAAAAGCAGACTCTGAGGAGTGTCCCCGACAGCAGCTGTCCCTCGTCATGAGAGGACAAGGTCGTACGGATGGGGCTCCCTCGACAGCCGAGGCTCAGGGGTGAAGTGACCCTGCTAGACTCTCAGCAGGTGAGCAGGAGATTCCCATGCCTGTCCCCCTGCCCAGGTCCCTAACGGAGCTCTGTGCTGCGTCCTCCCTAGGCACAGGAGCTGGTGTGCTGTCTTGGATGACTGCTGGTTTCTCCCCTGAAGCAGAAACCCAGGGAGCCCGCCTTAGGACGCGGGGCTGGCTTGCACCTGGCTCCATCAATCCAGGGACAAGTGCGCTCCCTGGCCAAGGACCTGACAACTCTGGGCTCTGGTCACAGGCTACCGTGTGACCCTGGGCCAGTCATTTCCTCTGATGCGAATCCTAGCAGCAGAATGACTGACCTTTACAGGCCTTCCCTCACAGGCCAGCCTTCAATTCTGGGGCTGTCAGGGCTTGAGGAGGAAGATGGTGGTGCGGCAGTAAGCCCAGTAGAGGGCGCTCACAGCATCGGGGAAAACAGGCCTTGCTCGGCCGAGCTGGTTTAAGGTTCCTGACCTCAGTGTGGGCAGTGGATTGAGCCCAACCCAGCCCAACTACTGACGGAGGCCATGTGCAGCCGTGATGATCTGATGCTCCAGGTGCACTGATCTCATCATACACTGGGGGGCAAGCAGGACCCCAAAGGACAAGTGAAGGATATTAAGGTGCAAGTTCATCTGCTCTACGCCTGTTCTTCAAGACTCTGAAAACATTCCATTCTGTCCTCTCTCTGTACCTCCCACCCCAACCAGGTACACAGTTTAATTTACACGGAGAAAACAGGCGATCACAAACTTGAAGGCGCGATCACACCTCTCGTGGCGGTGTTCCGCTGCTTCCTTTCGGTCATTCACTCGCGTCTATAACGCCTTGGAACATACTTTCCTCTCCCTTGGAAAAACTTTCCTTCCCCCATCAATATGGGAAACTCCCACTTGCTCTGGAAGACCCCGTGTAAACGTCTCCTCCTCCGCAGAACCCTACCCCACAGAGCTGGGCACTCCCTCACCCCTCTGAGGGGAATCGTTTATGGACGCCCGGGACCTGCCCCGCGCTCCGAGCCCCCGCGCACAGCCCGTGGTCTGCGATGGCTGCGGCTTCCCGTGTGTGCTCGCGTGTGTGCGTGTGCGCGCGCGTCGTGGGCTGTGCCAAGCATGGCACATGCATTACATCACTCGTCTCTCACTGCAAGCGGGTGTGGGAAACAGTCATCGTCCTCCTTCCACACTTCTGCAGATGGGGACCGGGGAAGACTGAGTCATTTGTTCAAGGTCACACACGTGGTAAATGGAAGACTCAGACTTCACATTCAGTGTGCTTCAACCCTGAGCCCAGGTTCTGTCTCAACCCCTGGGTTTAGAGCCTCTGACTCGTACCTTCCTGCTTCCCATGCCCGCTCTCTATTGCCTGGCATCAGGCAGATGTTCAGAAACTATTTCTCAAAAAAAAAAAAAAAAAAAAAAAAAAAAAAAAAAAAAAAAAAAAAAAAAAAAAAAAAAAAAAAAAAAAAAAAAAAAAAAAAAAAAAAAAAAAAAAAAAAAAAAAAAAAAAAAAAAAAAAAAAAAAAAAAAAAAAAAAAAAAAAAAAAAAAAGTAAAGTAAAGTGAGCTGGATTTTGAGCACTTACAAATGGCTCATTAAAAACTCCCCAACAGAGGTGAAGGGGGTGAAGGGAGGGCAGGGGTATGGGGAAAAAATAACCAAGATCTGTCACGTAAAGGTACAAGATCCCAGTGATAAATGTAACTGTATTGTTTGCTTTAAATGTAATGATAAACTTAATGGGGGAAAAAACTCCATAAAAACACCACAACAGGGGCCAGGGACTTAGCTCAGTGGTTCTGCTGCCTGCCTTGCAAGCACAAGGTCCCAAGTTTGATCCCTGGTACCCAAAAACAAACAAACAAAAAACACCACAAGTGGGGTATGGTGATCCCAGCTCTCTGGGAAGCTGAGGCAGGAGCATCACAAGTTTGAGCTCAAATGAGAACCAAGACCTGTCATGTAAAGGTACAAGATCCCCATGATGAATGTAACTGTACTGTATCCCTAAAATGTACTAATAAACTCAATCAAAGAAAAAAAAAAGAATAATAAACAAGGCCACATAAAAAGAAAACAAAAACACAAGTTTGAGCTCAGCCCGGGCAACTTAATGACTTAGTAAGACTCAATTATAAATAAAAGGCAAAATAAAAGATAGCTAATAGGAGGTAGGGAGATAGATCTTTCACAGATGGGAAGGGGGTCAAGACACAGAGGAAGAGGATGAAAAAAAGGAACTGAGATATGTTATCTACATGTAAACTCTACGCAAGGAAACATGATTTTTTCTAAATTTTTTTAAGTACTGGGGATCGAACACTCAGGACAGCACCACTTAGCTAAATCCCTGGCCCAATATTATATACTGTAAATATGTACTAATAAAAATTTTAAAAAAGACTGTGAATGCAGCTCAGCATGAAGGCCATAGGCAGTACTAAAAAAACCAAAACCAAAACCAAAACCAAAACCAAAACCAAACACCACAACAGAAGTAAATATGAGGGCTTTGCCATTCGACCACCTAAGTGTGAATCAAAGCTCTTCTATTAGCATCCAGAGAGGATACCTGGCTTTCCTGTGCCTCAGTTTCTTCATCTGGAGGATGGGGATAACACTGCATAAGCAGTATGAAGAGCAAATGAATTGCGATTCTCATGGAAAGTGTTTTTGCTTTTGGCTTTTGAAATAGGGCCTTGTGTAGTTGAGGCTGGCATAGAACTCATTATGTAGCCCAAGGTGGTCTCAATCTCATGGCAACCCTCTTGCTCCAGCCTCTTGAGTGCTGGAGTTCTAGGTCCTCATTCCTGGTTCACAGTTTTTACATGAGATGCATGTAACACGCTTTGACCAGGGCCCCAGAAAGCTAAATACACCAGTTATTGTCAGCTTGTGTCAGGCTTTTCCCATTCCCCAGTGACTATGACTCTTTCTTTCCCACAGATAAAGTTTGTGGAGGCTCTGGGATGGGTCTTTTATTGTGCTTTAGAATGTGGACACCATGGCTGATTTCAAGCTCTGAACATGAGGGTTATGCTGCCAGTCTTGGAGGAGGCCAAGAGTTTTGCTGTGCCTGTAAAGTAGCAAGACTAATACCTAACTCCTCATATTGCTGTCAATAGCAAGGCTGAAACTCTTACAAGAGCACACAACACACAGTATGCTAGGTAAGTGTTAGCCAATAACACACAGCACACTAGATAAGTGTCAGCCAATAGCACACAGTGCACTAGGTAAGTGTTAGCCAATTGCACACAGTGTGGTAGGTGTTA